GTTTTACCAATAGTTGTTGAAACAGACAATACACCCATCAAGTGTTTTGAAATTTTAACATCCCAAAACCTATTACAAAAATCACACATAAGTCAACATTGTTATAGTTAATTCGCACGGTCTAATGGAATGCAAATGTACGTACATGTACTGATACACAATTAATTTAACATTATATACCTGAGCCATCTTGGACATCAGTAGGTCCAACAATGAGCTTTGACTCGAGTTTGCAAAATTAGCTATTTAGAATGTGTTTGACTCCTCAGATTTAGGGAAAAGATTATTTGAAATGACTTGATGTCAAGGGTCAACTGAAAATCTGTTCATCTTAAATATTCAAGGGATTTTTGTTGAACAAAATCATTACAGTAGTGATTCTGTAATATGAAGTAATCTAGAAATTTTAAGTACAGGACATTGCAGACAGTATAATTCACTTCAGTAAGAGCTCGTACAAATTTGTCATGGCACAACATATCATAATTATTTGTTCAGCTAAATGAACTTCAGTAAGTGGTAGCACAGATTGTAATATCTTGAAGTTCTTGATTTGCTCCATTTTCATTTCAACAACAATCCTCGGAGCAGCAATTTGTTGAGTTTTAAAGAACTCCTGTACACTCATCTGACAATTAGATCATACAAATGGTGGCGTATTTAGTCCTATATGTGCAGGAAGTAAATCTCCAACAGTAAAGCCTTTGTATGCAAGAATAACATCTCGATGTTCTGACGTTGGTAAGAAGAGGTCACCATCTTCTTGCACAATATGTCTGCTATCTGATACATGCCCACCCCAAATCCTTTACACAAATGTTACTAGACCATTGGGTGCAACTCCAATTAAACCTTTATAAGTGTTCTGGTGGTTGTATTCACTCCATGTAAGAAATTAAGCCTCTATGTTTCCTGGTTTCTTGCAGAAGAATTATGTTGCATCTATAACTATACGAAACTGAGCCATTTCTGTAAAATGTTTAGGCAAATTGCTTAAAATTTGTTCTCTTGATGGCCATGGGATAAGTGACTTGCATGTAATCAAACATAAAATTAATCCATATATTAATGATTCGAGAAACTGTCTTAACAGACACACTAAATAAATCTGCAAGAAACTTTTGCCAGGTTTCTAAATTTTTTGGTTGAAATATTTTCTGTCTTTTGCAGGTAGTGGAGTGCTTTTCCCCCTTTCCCAGTAGGTCAACTATTCTGCACCATGCTTACAAAAAGTAGTAAAAAGCAGTAAAAATGTTGCATAATTTGTATAACCAGTATAATATTTTGTCTTCTCATCATCGTTTTCAATAATCTCTGGTTTAAAAATAGGAACAACTGTCTGTGATGCAGATGATTTCATACATTTGGCCTTATTTAATTGTGTCTGTGTAGCATCATCTCTTACATTTACATCTGATGTCTAGACATATATGGAATCCCCAACTATAGGGTCAGTCTGTGTTTCAGAACTCTCCTTTTAAGACAAGGAACTAATAGTAGTAGATATACATGATGTATCCTCACAGGGAATGTTTTCAGTATTCTCAAATTCAGAATGACTATTTTCCTGGGTGTAGTCAGATACCTTGTTTGCATATATTATTTTCAAAATGTAAATTGCGAAGTCTAGAGTTTGAGCCAATTGGAGTATCTGGTCGCACAAGTTTGATTTTTTGAATCCACAATGATCTTGTTTTTTTTTTAGCACTGTCACCTGATGGAATGCAATGAGGTTTTATAGTTGTATCATTCTCACAATTTTTTTCCTGCATAATTGGAGCACAGTAAACAATATCTTTTTCCTCCCTTGACAGTGATAGAATCTGAAACCATATAATGGGATTTATCATGATATTGAGTTTTTTACTGGTAATGTTTTAATATTTTTTCACAAGAATAGATTACACATTTAAACCTGCACATCAACATGGACAAGTGTTGTGATACTATTCCAAAAAGGAAGGCTTTCTTGTTTTATACAAAAGAAATTAAAAGTATATCAAGAAATGTTTCAAATCTCTGAAGTAGTGTCTGATTTTCATGTTGTAATCATTGGAGCAGACATACACAGGTGAAAGCATTCTAAAATTAGATTTGTTAACCTATGCATGATTTTACTGTGACTGGGATTACAATTGTATGTTTTATCAAATTATAAACAAAAAAAAGAGAACCCATTTTAATAAATGTTGTTTACAAATGTAGTCTATAATCTCTTTTTCTTGTAACAGTGAATGGTAAACCGTTTTTATTATTGTTATTTCCTTAAAAGACCTTTTTTAACTTACCTGTGTACCCATCAGTGTTTTCTGTCAATGTGAATCCAGCCCCCCTCTCTAAAAAAGTGCGATCGTTCAAAATATACTTATGAAAAATTCCCGAAAAACACTGCCAATATACACAAATATGTAACTTTGTAAGAGTTGAGAAATTGTTGGTTATCGGACGACAATAACATAAAAATAAGTTTAGTGCGATCATGGGTTCTTACAGAATAGTCCCGGTGGGAGTAAAGCGTTTTTGTTTTGCCGAAAAAACGTATCTGGATAGTGTCCATAACGATACATTTACACCTTGATATAAAGACTGGCTTATTTCACAGAATGAACATTTAATGTGGAAGCTTTCCTCAAAGGAAGTTTACCTTTATCGTCCATGTTATCTGCTCGACNTATTTTTAGAGTCAATCAGAGTAAACCATTATCTGTTTTTGTCCATACCAATGAAACAGGAGTTTTTGATAAGAATGTTAAATTGAAACAAAATCATACAAACTTTCAAACCCAACAAAAACGTTCTGTCATCAATATCCACTGCTTCATGGACAAGTCCATTGCAGATGTCGNTGTGGTGGTGTTTGAGGCGCGTCAAAGGGACGTAATGCGGTAGGCTGCCAGTCTGTGGTAAATTATACAATTGTGAAGGTTATATATTTCTAACAGAATAATCCAAATCAAATAAATAACCTTTAATTGCTCTAATATAATGACAAATATATTTAGTTTGCAACACTGAACATTTTTTTAAAGTTAATTAATTAATATCTATGCAGCGTTTACAATTACCAAGATATGCAATTCCCTTTTAAGGTTATAGTTTATTTATGTGGCAGGGTTCAATTGTACATAGGGTTAAGGTCGCCTTCTAGCTTTGAGATAGAGCGAATTTTCCTTTAGCTCAGTGGTAGAGCGTCCGACTAGGAACCTGGAGATCGAGGGTTCGATCCCCGGTGGAAGCACACTATTCTCTTTCTTGTTACAAATGGTGTCTGTGGCCCTTCCTGTAGTGACAGGGAGTTAGAACATGGGATGTGGTGTCCGAGGGCGAACACATTTTAAAAGGTTGGAGTAGTGTGGGAGGGTTCAATTGTATATTAGGATTAAGGTCGCCTCCTAGCTCAGAGCTCGAGGGAATTTCCCTTTAGCTCAGTGGTAGAGCGTCCAACTAGGAACCTGGAGATCAAGGGTTTGATCCCTAGTGGAAGCACACTATTCTCTTTCCTGTTACATTTATATTTGAAATAAAAGAAAGGTACTGAAGTGTTTAATGAAAGGTCAGCTTAAGCATCCTCATCATGCATGTATGCATTCAGTAGAGCAACCCTACCTGCATCATTAATTTAAGTATTAACCAAATAATAGCTTTTGCTACTGAGATATGGACTTACACAACTTTTCTTAATGTGCACTGATGTATAATGTAGAAGGAAGTCACTGGAGTCTAAAATGTAAGTCAAATTCAGCATCTACACACATTAATCAGTGACCCTATAGCTGTGTCAATGATGCCATCATTATGCATGTATTACCTAGATGTACCCAGAAATGGACCCAACACTTTTTCTTAATGGGAATGGAGGACGAGACCGAATCCATTTATTCATCCTCTGCAAACTTCGTTGAGTAGGGGCTGGGAATAAAAAAAATGTTACTTGTGAGCAGAGACGTATACATTTCTGTTGCGAGGCAAACATACAAAGATGAAGATAAATAACAACATACATATATTTACATCAGTCAATGATTTAATTTTATAAAAAAATATCAATATGCGTAAAAGTTAACAAAACAATCAATGCAACAAAGTTACCAACAAGTATGCTGTCATTACATATATCTACATACATGTACATATATTTGATGGAACAATTTAAAAAAAAATAAATAAACAAAGCAATGCAAAGGAATACTGAATAAAATATAACCATCATGAAATATCATGACTCAAGACCAGTTTTTAAGAAACTGATGCCTGTTTGGGATACCTGTGACCTTGAAAGAAGGTCAAGGTAATCTACATGATGAAACTTTAAAGTATTTATCCCAGGTACTTGCTGACCAAATATAAGGGCCCTGTGAATTTTTAATTTAAAAATGTAATTTAAAGAAAAAGTTGACTGACAGATTTATGACAGTCACTTCACTATACCATAAGATTATGACAGTTTGTACCAGAGGAGCTTAAAAGTGTATCTGAAGTTCATGAACCATGATATTTGTCTTTCCTTCTTTCTGACTGTATGACCAAATCAGAAAAATCACAACAATTATCAATCATTAGCCACGGTATACATGTCATTGGTCAATGCCCTTTTTAATTAATGTCCAACAATATGGTATTTTCATCGTCACATATACAGCAATGTCTTGTTTTCTCCATTCAAAGGACTAGGAATCCAAGAAGGACAAAGCTCTTGCAGTGTCTTACAGAACACTGCATCCTGATGTTAGGTCTGGAATTTGCCAAGAAAAGTTGGACATTCTGGAGAAGAAAAAAAAATATTGTCATGAATCAGACATAGACACTGTAGATATGATAGTTGTAACTGTATGATATGCTTTTGTGGGAGAATAGCAATATATACTCTGCGAGGTCACCCATTCATTTTTTGAAATTTGACTAAAAGTTGGTTCATACTAAACCTACAATAAAACATAATATACCTTGAATACATCAGCATCATTTCATAGAAGAAACATATTTTAAGTATATATACAGACCCCACTATGGAACTTCGAAACTGTGTTTATGATAATAGGACTAAATTATTATAATAACACCTCATTTTGAATATACTTAAGCTAACCACCTGTTTCAGGACTGCCAGTCACTGGTAGGGAATTACAAAGCAAGTTTCCATCTCATGGTTTGCATGTCTTTAGAAAGCTTCTGTTGTTGTGTCTCGAGGATGTCGCTGAATAAAGAGGGCAATTCAAATAACAAGTTAAAACTATGACGGGTTATCCATATAAATCTTGACATTCCATTTAGGTAAGTAAACAAAATATTAAATTCAAAAGCATATCCGATGGTCAGTTTACTGGAAGTAATAAACTGATTGCATAATTATGAAATCTATAATTTCATGGTGCTTAATTACTGAATCAATAGACAGAGTTGTTAACTATACATTAGGTTTCCTGCTTCAGTATTTTACATAATTAACTATAACATCAATCATATAATAAACATTGAGCCAAACAAGAAATGTTGTTTGTTTCCAGTTACCCTCCCTAATGATTTGTGCCTGCTCTATTTTTTGTCAAATTTCAAGGAAGCACTGTTAAAGTGAGGATCACTTCCTACATAAGCGTTGTGAAAAAAAGAAAAAAACATTAACTACATGTACCCAACCCTAATTCCTATTTTTGTTTAGACATGTAACAGGAAACCATCCTATTTTTTTATGCCTACCTACTATTTTGGTAAAATTTCAAGGAAGCACTTTTAACATGTAACAGGAAGCCAACCTGATTTTTTTTTGTTAAGCCTTTAACAAAATAAATAGCTCAGACTTACAATCTACATTTGACACTTGAGTTCAGTAATGGACAGATCAAATTATGGAATTTGTACCCGTAATCAATAATTGAAAAGGCAAGCTGATCAATTTTGAGTTATATTATCAAGTATTGGCCCATCACTAGTTACCATTAGATGTAAAAAAAAAATAAAGAGACAAACAAGAGGCCTAGAGGGCCTGAATCCCTCAACTGGATATTTAAACATCACGGGAACATATTCTGATTAAATACATCATGTACTGCAACTATAGGCTCTGTCTCTCAGCATATTGAAAGAGAATAATTTAAACACTTATCAATATTTCCCCCCTATTGGACCCCGCTCCTCTGCCCCCAGGAGGGTCACACCCTCTGTTTATACAAAATTGGGTCCCCTTTGACCAAGGATACTCTAACTCCAGGCCAAATGTAGTCAAAATCCACTGAGCTGTTCGACTTCAGGACAAGTGGACACCAAGGATGAAGCTTACCAAGTTTAAAAAGATTCATTCCCCGGTTCTTAAGAAAATATCTTAAAGTTTACAGACGGGTGGTGACCTAAAAATAATTTACACATACCAGCATATAAACAGTTTCAAACATTGTGAAACATGATACATTTTTATATGCACTACCTCCATTGTTCAGGAAATGCCTCTTCACTGTAGGAGTTGTTCAGGTATCAAGGAAGTAGACGGTCTGCTGTCAAAAACCAGTGATCAGGTTGGCAAACTGGCACTTCATAACACTTCATGCTGACCGAACCAGACCTACAACAATTATGTCATTGAGATTTCAGTAATATTTGCTAAATGTTGTACATAATGCACATGAAAAAAAATGATAACGACTTAAAACAAGTATTTCAAATTAACTTAAATCAAAGATATGTTTGATAATTGGTCAACAATATTGACATCCAATATCACTCAATAACCACTGTTCCCATGAACTATAGCTATAGATTTATCATCTCCTATATGAGACAAGTTTTAATATGACATCTGCAACAAATGCATATGGGCAGGCCAGGGTTATGCACATTTTCCTCGAATGAGGCATACTTGATTGAATCTGATGTCATCATCTAATAACAGTAGAAAATTTAAATCTTGATTTTTATGCTAATTTCAGGCGGTTAGTTTTAATTAGCTGATCACTGTATGCTGTTCTGAATATGAAATTTGCATCCACTTCTCAAATTTATCAAAATTAATTATGAAGCATGAACAGGAAAAAAATGTACATATGGTTCCGAGGTATTTGAAATCCTTACTGTAAATATTGAGATAAAAATCATATAAAACATAAGGGTATTGCTACTTTTTTGGTAGTAGACTAATACCCTTATTTTTTATATGATTTTTATCTCAATTTACAGTCAGAATTTCAAACACTTGTGATTGGATACTTGATATCAAAGTTTTACTTTCTACACAACGTATTAAACGTGTCGCAACCTTCCAAGACCGACTTGTCCCTTTGTCAAGCTATGACAGCACCAATATCAGTTCTGTATTTCAGACATGCATTTGTAACGAACCCCTGTGTGCAGGGTTAACATTTTGCCAGTTACCAAATACTTGTGGGATTTCGTTATGGCTACGGCATCCTAACTATAAATATGACGATTTTCTGCTACGATACAAACAATTTTGGCTCAAACCTAAATAGATAACAGTTCAATTGCTGTCATAACCAAGACTTACCGCACTGTCGACTGCATTTTCCAAAATCTACTGCCACAATCTGGTATGTTTCCGGTTTAAGGGAGCGAGTATTATTTTCCGCGAATTTTGTTGGCGATTTAAGCGCCGGCTGTTGTCTTAATGCGAACTAAAATTCTAGAATGAATTCTAGAATTCATTCTAGAATTTTAGCTCCTCATTAAGACGACAAGCGGCGCTCCATCATAAACGATGTCGAAATCGCGATCGGTAAAACTAGCATAGCATGGAATGAACACGCAATAGATTTGTAAACGAGTGAAACAATACAAATGAACATAGAATTAATACAAATGAACATAGAATTAGATTCAAAACCAGAAGTAACTAATTCTATAACTTATCAACTACGGAAATAATACAAATGTACATAGAATTAGATTCAAAACCAGAAGTAACTAATTATATAACTTATCAACTAGGGAAATAATACAAATGTACATAGAATTAGATTCTAAACCAGAAGTAACTAATTCTATAAAAAATAATTATGGCGGTGATCCCCTTCCACAGACATATGGCGTGATTACTATATTCTTCGACTTTTTCGTGTGTGTGTGTTTTATGGGGGCGAGTAGAGATATAAAAAAAACAAGATATAATTTCACTGCTCCACTATTCCAGTCGATTGATTCTCCAGCAACTTAGGGCTTGGAACGTAGGTTGCTGAACGGATATTTAAACAGCCATTTGACACAGCTGTTGCATGTTTATTTCTAACTCATTTCTTTTATGTTTTTGATAATTTTTTAACCATATTTTTCGTTTGATTTGCTTTAATCTCTTACATCCGTACATCATATCTCGATTAAAACATCAAATTTATTTCTCGCATATTTATTTTGAACGTTGGCCAGATATGATTTCAATTTTACAACAGCTTCAGAATATCTTACGCAAAATGTTTGGCCAAAGCTGTTTTACGCCAGATAGTTCGAAATCCAAGGGTCCCGTTTGCGTTAACATTCGTTCTCTACCGTTTTTGGAATATATTTTGACAAAATTGAAGGCTCTGTACGCGCTTATTTGCGGAATTTTAAGACTCTGATAATTGACTAGTCCGAAAACTGTATACAAATCCTTCATACCAGTAATGCATTGAAACAAGATAGCAAAATTGCCTGACAGGAAATTGGTCTCTTTGATTACATTGAATGTGGTAAACCTAATCTGTAATCTTCCAAGTACAATGAATCAGCCTGGCCAAATAAAAATGTAGGAGTGTTTCCTGTTCCGGCTAAAACATTATGGTAAATGTAGGTAGGTAGGAACATTTTTTTTTTCTGGTGAAGAAAATCTCCGTGAATGTTTAACATTTGTTATTGTTGGCACCAAATACATATTTTTATTCATGTAAAATAAAACCACAACAAAAATAATCCCTGTATTCCTAGTTTTTGTGTTGAGCAGGCCAAAGCGACACATTCAAGTAAATTATTATTTAACCCATTTAAATGTTCTGGAATAACCAACGTTCTTTACAGTAGTTCTGCCACCAGTGTTACATTTCTAGATTATCCGTACTGCTGAACACTAGATTAAAGTACAAATATAATCCAAACCAGTGTTACGTTCTCTTTTGTATTGCTGATATCGATGCTTTCTGTTGAATTTCCACTGCCTCCAGTTCCACCAATCGATTGAACAACAGAAATATGTACATTTATATTTACACTATATTTACAACACAATTTTTTTAATACGTCATAAAATATACAAGTCTTCATTATTGTGAACTGGATCTCTCCACTCCAAACATAATTCCAACTATAAACTGTAAAACTACATAGATCTGCAAAGTACAGCTAAAGCTATCATTATTACTAGCTTCCCAATTCTAACTATATCTCTAACTTTCTAACTCTCCTCTTTATTTCTAGATCTCCCTAACTCAACCTCCTTCCTAATTCAACTCACCATCCGAACTCTCTTCTCCTCCTCCTTCGACTCCCAAGCTGAACTACCTTATTATCTGTACCTCAGCAAAATCCTGCTACATTAAAAATGCTGATACATTAAAATTGTTGATGCAGCTGAAATCCGGCTAAACTTTGACCCCTATACGACTTGGCTAATCTGGCCATAAATCCTGCTAAATTTGACTCTGGTGGTCAGCACCAGCTGGAGGCACAAACACTGACATCACAGACTGGACTCCCCCACCTACACTACAGACGGTAACACTCATCTACAGATCCAAATCTATATCAGAACCACAATTATCTACAGTGACATCACAGACTGGACTCCCCCACCTAGGCTACAGACAGTCACACTCATCTACAGATCACAACCTGTATCATAACCACAATTATCTACAGTGACATCACAGACTGGACTCCCCCACCTAGGCTACAGACAGGTAACACTCATCTACAGATCCAAACCTATATCATAACCACAATTATCTACGACTACTTAGCTACTATCTTCAAATAAACTCTGACAAACACGGGCAAAGGCTAATAAAATGCGTAGCAAATTGTGAAGAGAAGAAGTGTTTGTATACACATATATTCATTAAGTTTATTATTTTCCTTTTGTGTTGATATTTCATCTTTTGTCCTGTTTTGCAGTCGACAACAACAGGACTATTGTTTTTGTAAACATGTGTCTTGTCATTCGTTGTCTAATACATGTATATGAGAAAATGGCCATAATTATTCAACACAAAACAACTGGTCTGGATTATTTGTGTTGCTTGAACATGACTTTGACATTTTATAATTACTAATTGAATTTCAACAACAAATGGATGATTTCCCTTATCATACACTGTGTTCAAATATACTTTTGGAATCCCAGGAGCTACTAGCACCTATGTTTTGCCACGTCAAAGAGGGATTTGATTGGTTGGCACACCTTTAAGTTAGAGTCATGCAGTATGTTATCCAGTTAGCATATCCCGGCCATTGCGATTTGAATAACATTTACAGCATATGTATGATTGGTGACGTCATGATTGATTGGGGTAGGTTTATATAAAATTCGGAATAACTGAGTGCATTCTTTACCGAGCTTCTATACAACTAATCGACGCCGACAAGTTCTCGACCGTGTTCACAAGTATCTAGAACATTTATCAACAATAGGTCCTGTATCAAGGTGAGATATAATTTTATTTTAAGAGTTTGTTTTATGAATTATAACATAGAAAACAACAATAACCCGTCTTCAAATTAGTGATACAATAGGCACAGTTATTTCTCCAGTAAAAGATTGATTTCAAAAAATATTTGTCAATGTGTCCTTATATCGTTTTATCTTTTTAATATACATAAGGGTTAGGATATTAAAATAAGATCGTTTACCTTTTTAGAAGGTTTATATGCTTGTTTTTTGTATTGATGGCTGGAAATGATGTGTTGATCTTTACATGATTTTGCCTTCATAGATATATATATAATTTACAAGTCCGGTATTTCAATACAATTGACTAATACTGAATACACTCATATTGACATACGGTGATACCGAGCGAAATCACAACGAAATAAAGAAAACGTTAAGTGATGTGTTATGGCTGAAAACATGTTTTGTAAACTAAATATTGTCAACCAGGAACTCAATCATTCTGACTTTTCTTCCTCAATGTGTTTAATCTTTGCTTTTGTTGTGTTCCTCATAAAATATGTTCCAAAAGAACTTACAACATTTCATTGATATCGCTTTTCTCCTCTCCTGGAAAATAAAGCTCAAATATAGCGAATAATTTTGGTAAAAGTATGATAACGTAATGAGCGTAAAAGCCAAATGTTTTCAGAAATGATATTCATAAAACATCGGAAGATCTAGTGACATACAAAATGTATGGACACATCATTTAACAGCTATAGGGTTTTAATTAATTCAAGTTGATCTGATTATTTTCGTTGTGTAAACATTGTAAATGAACGCCGTCACAATCGCTGTGGTACAATAATGCATATGGTACCATGAATACGTACCAATAGGAAACGTCAAATCACGCTTTCGGAGACTAAAAGAAAGCAACCCCGATATCTAGTAAGTGACACTACGATATATCGTACGAATTCTCTCGGGTATCGTGAGATTACTTTCGATTAGAATCAACTATTTTATTGCTCGTTGAATGTATCTGGAGCGTTTAATATTACGTATGTAAAATATATTCTTAAAGAAATAAAATGATTCGATAAAAAAATGATATTTTTGATATTTTCTTTTACATCATTTTGAGAGTGTATTGGGAGCGTTTATTATCATCTTTATACCACCTACCGGTAGCATGATAAATTCATTATCATTGGTTGTCAGTATGAAAAGAACTTACAATTGAGAACGTATATTCTCATTCCCCAGAAACTTGAAAACGTATTTTCTCAAAACAGAACGTCTGCTCGTGCCAATTGACGTCCGAAACCGGAAATAGTGTCCAAACAAAACTGATCCACGTAAGAAAATAGTCCGTCGTAAACATATCAATACAAACTTACCAGGCGCGTAACAACCTATGTAGCAAAAAAGCCCGGGCTTACACATCATTTTTGACAAAATAAAAAAATAAAAATAAACACAACATAGACTATATGATATAAAATATTAAAAAGCAATGACAGGTGTTTTGTATCTGCTATAAAGACCGCCAACTAAAATGCTTCGTTGCAATCAAAGTCTCTAACAAATGTAGAACTGAGGTTAGCATATTCATTCGGCATGGTAATCGCGCCAGTGGAACTCTAGCCTTGCTAATTATCGGTGTACCCAAACACTAACTCTAGTTTTCCCTGTGAAATAAAGTGTTTCTAAG